GCAGGAACTATGTTGAAGTATGGGCTTTAGGATCTGGAAGGAATCTGATTGAAGAATCCATCTTGATCGGTTTATGGATGTGGGCACTGAGGACCAAGGAGGATTATTTGATTTTCCCAAAGTCACACAGTTCAGCACCTAGGTGTACTTGCTTGCTCATTCCTTTCACTACTTCGTGGGCCTCCACTGTACTCTGAAATCCCACCACCAGTTCTGACGAATGAGGAAGGGTGACAAAAAAGGATCTCAGAACAGTTACTGAATAACAGGGACATCCCTTGGGTAGGTTGCTCTCTGCCTTGTGGCTCCAGCCCCAGGGGTCAGGCTGGGAGGCCAATGTGAGACTTAGGACCCAGGGTAACCGGTTGGAGGATACAACCTAAGGTTTTGATGGGTTTCAAGGTGGGGATTTTCCTTGTAGGGTCACCCCCACCCCCACCCCCATCCCCATCACATGAGCCTAATCTTTGGAGTCCTGAAAATCCAGCCTGGGCCACCACCATCTCTCATACAATACACCTTTCACAGGACACTTGAATTTCTTTTTTTTTAAGATTTTATTTATTTGACAGAGCAAGTGTGTGCATAGGAAGGGGGAGTGGCAGAGGCAGAGGGAGAAGCAGACTCCCCACTGAGCAGGGAGCCCGACATGGGACTCGATCCCAGGACCCTGGGATCATGACCTGAGCAGACACTTAACCAACTGAGCCACCCAGGCACCCCAGGACACTTGAGTTTCATCTGTTGGCCTTCATGATAACCGTACCAAAGAATGGTCCCATTAGATCTGATGTCTTGTGCATTATGTAACCACCATGGTTTACATAGGGTCAGAGAGCCACTCAGAGTCCCTCACACCAGACAGGGGCTGGGGCTGGGTCAAGCCCTAGGGTCATGGTGCACCTAAGTGGATACCCCTGCTGGTGTGCTCCCCCCAGCGTAACTTGGACATGGTGCATGCACAGCCATCTTGTGCATCCTGCAGTGTGGGATCTTGTGCTCAGAATTTAGGAGAGGGGTTGGATCACACTGATGATGAGGCAGACACAGATTTTTTTTTTTTTAAGATTTTTATTTATTTATTTGAGAGAGAGAGAGAGCACATGAGAGGGGGGAGGGTCAGAGGGAGAAGCAGGCTCCCCGCCGAGCAGGGAGCCCAATGCGGGGCTCGATCCCGGGACTCCAGGATCATGACCTGAGCTGAAAGCAGTCGCTTAACCAACTGAGCCACCCAGGCGCCCAGACAGACTTTTTTTTAAATGGTTTCCAAGGTTTGGTTAGTTTGAATCTCCATGACCCCTGATTTCCCTGCGGAGCAAACATGGTAAGGTTGGGGTGGGGCGGGGGTGACTGGTTGACCCAATAGATGGGCAGGCCCAGGCAGGCTGTGGACAAAACACTGAACCACAGGCCTGGCCCTCCAACATGAACTTGAACATGGTTGGAGCTGGGGACACAGAGCTAAAAGGAAAGGACACAGGCCACTGTCAGGACACACAACCAAAGCTAGGACCCTGCTGACGTGGCAGCCCTCCGCCCTGGCCCCTTACTGCCCCCCACCCCTCTCCCCCGCCTGCCAGCTGCCACCAGGGCTCTGCCCTGTGTCTGCCACACCTGTCACTGCCCGTCCTTGTCCAGGGGGGGCCCCATCAGCCCCTCCTCAGCTACCCGGCACAGCAAGCGGGTAGTGGGGAGGGGAGGGAACATGGAGCGGGGGCCGGTGGTGGGGGCAGGGCTGGGGGCCGGGGCCCAAATCAGGGCGCTGCTAGGCTGCCTGGTCAGGGTGCTGCTCTGGGTGGCCTCTGCCTTGCTGTACTTTGGAAGTGAACAGGCCGCCCGCCTCCTGGGCAGCCCCTGCTTACGGCGCCTCTACCATGCCTGGTTGGCAGCAGTGGTCATCTTTGGGCCCCTTCTGCAGTTCCATGTCAACCCTCGGACTATTTTCGCCAGCCACGGCAACTTCTTCAACATGTGAGTCCACTGGAGGCTGTGGGCGCCGGCTCCCTGCACTCTGGGATCCCAGCTCCCTCCTCCAGGCTTCTGTGGTGCTGCCAGTCTGGACGCTAAAAATAGGCTAAGAGGTTGAGAAATTGGGAGGAGGGGGAGGGGAACAGAGTCCTAGGGTCCAGGGGAAATCAGGAGCAGGGCTGAAGAGGAAATACGGCTCCTCGAAGGCTGAATGGGCCTCTAAGGAGACGGCAAGGTTTAAGTGGCTGGGTGGGGGGCAGGGAAGAAAGGGAACCAGTGAGGATATGTAGGGTGGGGGACAGAGCAGGGATGGGAACACAGATGGGGTGGAAGATGGGGCGCAGGCGGGTCTCAGTAGCTAGTCTCCCTTCTTCTGTGCCCACAGAAAGTTTGTGAATTCGGCATGGGGCTGGACATGCACCTTCCTGGGGGGCTTCGTGCTGCTGGTGGTGTTCCTGGCTACGCGGCGTGTGGCCGTGACCGCCAGGCACCTGAGCCGGCTGGTGGTAGGGGCGGCAGTGTGGCGGGGGGCCGGCCGGGCCTTCCTGCTTATCGAGGACCTGACTGGCTCCTGCTTCGAGCCTCTGCCCCAAGGCCTGCTGCTGCACGAGCTTCCTGACCGCCGCAGCTGCCTGGCAGCTGGCCACCAGTGGCGGGGCTACACCGTCTCCTCCCACACCTTCCTGCTCACCTTCTGCTGCCTGCTCATGGCCGAGGAAGCCGCAGTGTTCGCCAAGTATCTGGCCCACGGGCTGCCAGCCGGGGCCCCCCTCCGCCTCGTCTTCCTGCTCAACGTGCTGCTGCTGGGCCTCTGGAACTTCTTGCTGCTCTGTACTGTCATCTATTTCCACCAGTACACCCACAAGGTGGTGGGTGCCGCGGTGGGCACCTTTGCCTGGTACCTCACCTATGGCAGCTGGTATCATCAGCCCTGGTCTCCAGGGAGCCCAGGCCACGGGCTCTTTCCTCGGCCCCACTCCAGCCGCAAGCATAACTGAAAGAAATAAAGGCAAACCTGGCCTACCTCGGGCTCTGCTCATCATTTGGTTGGGGGGACTCAGAAAGGGTGGGAAGGGTAAGAAGGGAGTCAGGCAGTCTCTCGCGCGTCCCTCAGCCATTCTTTGCTTGCTCTCCATCCTTCCTGCTGTCCTTTCAAGTCTCGCAGTCCTCGCAGACTTCAAGCTCTCTGGGGGTCTCAGATATCAAGGACCGGCAATGCCAGAGCAGGTAAGAGTGCCCGTCGGTATAGGCAGCACTCCTGCTAAGCAGGTGCTTCGTCTCCAGCCTGGTTGATTGGTTTTTTCTGCCTCCTTCACTGAATTCCCCCTTCCACCTTCCTTAAGGGCCTGCCTATCTGGGCACATTTACTTAATAGGTATTTATTGAGCCAAGCATAGTTCCATGCCTTGTGAATAAGGAAGACAAGGTTCCTGCTGTTTGGGGGCCGGTGGGATAATGGGGGAAGCAGATGAGAAACTCACAAATAACAGCAAACATTTCTTTTGCTCTTACTATGTTTCAGGCAGCGTTCTAAGTGTCTCTAAGCTCTTCCTATAAATCAAGACATTAAGCCCTCATAACAACAACACCACTATCAGGTGGGTTTGGTAACGTTTCTACTGTACAGTTGTGAAAACTGAGGCACAGAGGTTAAGTGGCTTGTTCACAGCTAGTAGATATCAAAGCCAGGATTATAAACCCAGGCAGTAAGGGTCCATTGTCTGTGCTCTAAACAGAGGACCAGCAACTACAGCCCTCCTGTGGCCAGATTTTGTATGGCCTGAGAGTTAAGAAAGGTTTTTACATTTTTAATGGTTGGAAAAAAAAAAAAAGAAGAAGAATATATCATGGTATGTGAAAATTACACAGAATTCAAATTCCAGTGTCCATAAAGAAAGTTTTACTAGAACCTGGCCCTGCTAATTCATTTAGGTATGGCTGCTTACCTGCTCTAAGGGCAGAGGTGAGTAGTTACTACAGACACCATATGGCCCACGAGAGCCTAAAATGTTTACTATCTGGCCTTTTACAGAAAAAGTTTGCTAACCCCTGGTCTAAACCACACTATCCCCCCAAAATAAACTGGCTAATATCAGAGCTCCAGTGCTATGAATATACTACAACAGGCTGGTTTGTAATAGAGACTTGGCAGGGAGGTACTTTATAAAGGATGATGGAGAGAGTTCCCTCTGGAGAGGTGATATTTAAGCTGAGAACCTAACGACAACCCGAGGCGGGGAAAGGGTGTGTCAGGCAAAGGGATCCGGTAAGGCCAAAGTACCTGAGACAGGAATGAATGCTGACATTGGGTTTAAGCAACAATGGAAGGCCCAGCTATTTGCAAGTGTAAGGGAAGGGGGAAAGCAGTGGAAAGTGAGGTTGCAGAACAGGGGCCAGGCAGGCCAGGCAAGCCTTCTGGGCCGGGGAAGCCCTTTAGATTTCATTCTAAGGTCAACAGGAAACTGAGAGAGAGCTTTAAGCCAGACAGAGTCTGTGTGGAGAGTATAGGGGGGGTTGTAGTCCACAACATGGGTCAGGAGGGAGCTGACCGGGGCCTGGGTTGGAGTGGTGACAGCGTCTGAATGTCACCACATGGGCCAGACGATGCCCGTGGAGCCAGGACTAGGCAAGGGAGGCCAGAAAAGATGGAAGAGCGCCAGATAAGGCTTATCACCGTCCCAGGCCGAACAGGGACAGAAGAGAACCAGAGGCGTCCGGAGGCAGGGAGATGGGAGGAGGGCACTGGCTCCGGGAGGCGGGAAGGCGGGCCCGCGGTGCGTGGGGAGGCTGGGCGTGGAAAGAAGCGTGTGTGGGGGTGATAGTGGCAGTAGGCTGGGAGACGAAAGGCGGGAAGCGAGGAGGCGGGGAGGGAGAGGCTGGGCTTCGGGAGCAGGGCGGAAGGGGGAGGCAGGCTGGGACGGGCTGCCGGGCGGAGGAGGCGGTGGCAGCGCTCCTCTCGGCCTCCAGGGGGAGCCCGGCCGCGGCTGCCGCCCTCCGCCCCCTCCCCTCCGGCTCTGGCCCCGCCCCCTCCAGTACCTCGGCTGCCAGGCTACCCAGGAAGGCCGTGCGGGTGGCGAGCGCTGCTTTCGCTTTCTCTTCCCCGTACACACTCCGCTTCTCGTGCGGCGCGAGGCCCCCCTCCCCGGCCATGGCCACGCTCAGGGTCCAGCCTGAAGCCCAAGCCAAGGTGAGCGCTGCGGGTTCGAGGAGGGGCCCATTAGGGAGGCGTGGCCCCGAAAGGCTGCAGGCGTCCGTGACCGGCCCCCCGGCCCCCGTCGCGGGTTGGGGTCGTGGTCGATCGGAGCCCACGTGAGCCTCGGTGCCAGGAGCACCTGCGCCCTGGCCGGGGGAGACAGGCGAGGTCCGCGTGCCGGGAGAGGCCAGGAGGTCGAGGTTCAGCGGGGTGCGGTGAAGCGGAGAGCTGGCGTGGAGGGGAAGTCCGCTGGCGCGGGGCCCCGGGCCACACACAGACAGGGTGCCGGAGCTGCCCTGCCACCTCATGGCTTTTTCCACGGGAGGGCCCCCGGCCCACTCCACAGGGTACGCCGTTCCTGCCCCAGTCGCAGAGGCTCTTACACCCCTCCTTGTACAGCCCAGGAGACCCGAGGGATCTGTTCTCACTTAGACCATTCGCCCTTCACCGCCAGGACTGTTCTCATCCCCCACATCCAGCCCCACGGGGATTCACTTCACCCTCCCCAACCCCACGGGATGCATTCCACCCTTCCCCAGGTCAGGCCCTACACAACCCTAAGGGAATGGTCCTCATATGAACTGGCCATAAAGCCAGGTGTCTGAAGGGCTGCCTGTGTCCCACAGGTGGACGTGTTCCGTGAAGACCTGTGTACCAAGGTAAGACCTGCCCCATCAACACCCCACTCCTACCCAACTCCCACGGCTCAACCCTTCCCTGCTGGGCAGCGGCAGCCCTGCTTCACTGCCAGGAAGAACATGTGATTCTGACCCCCATCTTCCCCCACCCCCACCTCACACACAGACAGAGAACCTGCTGGGGAGCTACTTCCCCAAGAAGATTTCTGAGTTGGATGCATTTTTAAAGGTACTGGGGGCAGCAGAAAGCTAGAGAATAGGGGTCAAGGGGGGAGTCGGGGGAGCCATGAGAGTGAGGCCTCTAGAGAGGGATGCCTTTGCCTCCAGCTCTCCTCCCACCCTGCACCAGGAGCCTGCTCTCAATGAAGCCGACCTGAGCAATCTGAAGGCCCCATTGGACATCCCAGTGCCTGATCCAGTCAAGGAGAAAGAGAAAGAGGAACGGAAGAAACAGCAGGAGGCAAGCCGGGAAGAGCTGGGAGGAGGGACCCAACCATGGGGAAAATCAACCTTAGGCCTGAGTGCCAAGAGCCCCTCTCTCCCTGCAGAAGGAAGACAAAGATGAAAAGAAGAAAGGGGAAGACGAAGACAAAGGTACCACCATGAATGGACTTGAGTCTCACCTCCTAGGAGCTCTTCCCCAGGGATTGCTCTTCCCTGCCCTCACACAGTCCCAGCCTGGTGACTGACCCATTGCCCACTGCCTAGGTCCTCCCTGTGGCCCAGTGAACTGCAATGAGAAGATCGTGGTCCTCCTTCAGCGTCTAAAGCCTGAGATCAAGGATGTCATTGAGCAGCTCAACCTGGTGAGCCCTCCCACTCCCACCCCCAGGCTTCAGACCTAACCCTTTGTCCTCCTTGGTCCCTATCAGGTAGGGCTTAGCACCAGCTGGGTCTCAGCAGGAGAGAGCACAGCAAATGAAGCCAGAATTGTAGGCCCTGGGGCTTAGGATGGACTTGGCATACCCCCCCCCCCCCCCCCCCCCCCCCCCGATCGTGGGCAGGGAAGCAGAGGACAGGAACCTGGGAAGTAGGTTGGGAGCTGTTATGGCTTTGATGCCTTTCCCTCCTCCCAGGTCACCACCTGGTTGCAGCTGCAGATACCTCGGATTGAGGATGGAAACAATTTTGGAGTGGCTGTCCAGGTGAGAGCGCTACCCCACTCCTCTGCCCTCCTTACTGCTCCAATCCATGCTGCTTTCCACTTTCCCCCTTGCATTCTTTCCCCAGGAGAAGGTGTTTGAGCTGATGACCACCCTTCACACCAAGCTGGAAGGCTTCCACACTCAAATCTCCAAGTGAGTGACTGCCCACCTACACGTGCATGCACACTCCACCTTTGCCTTGGACAGAGGCCTGGGCTCCCTCTTCCTTCTCCCACTCCATACCCTTCTACTTCCTACAGGTATTTCTCTGAACGGGGCGATGCTGTGACCAAAGCAGCCAAGCAGCCCCACGTGGTAGGTGAGGCCCAAGTCAGGGTGCATGGTGGGGGAAGGACACATCTGAAGTCAGACCTGACCCAAGACTCCCACAGGGTGATTATCGGCAGCTGGTGCACGAGCTGGATGAGGCAGAGTACCGGGACATCCGGTTGATGGTCATGGAGATCCGCAACGCTTATGTGAGGAAGCGAGGGGGTGGGGGACAGAGGGAGCTTTCCTAGGCCACCTACTCCCTGACAGGCTGGGGGTGAAGGGTCACAGAACTTAGCTTCTCCATAAGGCTAGAAATGGGGCACAGGAGCCACTGGGGGCCTGTGGCTGACCCCCACTCCTCTCTGGCCCTGTAGGCTGTGTTATATGACATCATCTTGAAGAACTTCGAGAAGCTTAAGAAGCCCAGGGGAGAAACAAAAGGAATGATCTATTGAGAGCCTTCTCTCATTCCGTAATGGGTCCAGCAGAGACCTTCCTATCTTTTACAGAGGACTCCAGACTTTCCCCAACTTCAGCCTGTTGAGGTTTCTCCCTCCCCTTGCCTCCCAGGCATAATAAATAGTCATACCATTGTCCTTCAACCCAAGTCTCTTTATTGGATCCTGACCCTTTCCCTCCCCCACCCCCCCCAGCCCTGGCTCAGGTATTTCCATTGGTGGGACCCACCCACTGGGTGATTTGGGTGTTCAGCTGCTGGTTGGTCCAGTCCTGCCGGATGTCGTCAAGGTGGCAGTCAAAGTCCACAAGGTGCTGGTGGGCCCGGCCCTCCAGTAGTGCTCCCACCATCTGCCGTGACTCTTCCCAGTCCCTCCACATCACTCTGAAATAATAACCCCCATGGAGGTCAAACTCAGCAGGGGGCCAGACACTTGGCAGAGGTTAGCATCTAGACAAGGACCCTTGGGGCAAGATCAAGGACAGAGGAAGCCCAGGAGCTGTGGGCTTCCAAGAAGAGGTGAAGGGAGTGGGGCACTCACAAGTTCTTGTCCTTGGGGACCCAGCGGGGACCATGGTTTTCCAGGACAATGACGGGGGGCACATGAGGCTGAGGCACCAGTTTCTGATTATCCAACTGTGCAGACAAGGAAGGTCTGGTGAGGGTTTCAAGCATTCCCCTTTCCTACTTTCTCACCAACTCCCCACCCTGAAACCCAAACCTCACCGTAATAAGGACTGCACCAGGGAAGAATTCTGCAATCCGCCCAGCAATTTTCAAGGCCAGAGGCCCAGCGCTATATGGAGGAAAGATCAGAGGAGTGAGGAGCTGACCATGGGTAGACCCTGTCCATCTGAGCTGGACCTCCCAGGTCTCCTAGATGATGGCGCAGTGGTGGCCTTTCCCTGTAGCAGGTCTGGGGGGTCAGGCCTGCTTGAAGCTTCATACACAACTGCTTAATGCCTGAGTGCAGTGGAAAACAGGTGCTCAGATTGTTGGTCAAGGTGGAGATCAAAGGTGATCTTTTGGGAGGGTAATTTGGCATAATTTAAACAGTATATGCTGACCCAGAAATTCCACTTATAAATAATTTACTGTAATAATTGTACAGTGTCTGTATTAACAAAAAATGGGAAACAATATCAATGTTTAAGGCATTAAATAAATCATGGTACTTCCACACTCATACTATATAGCTGTTAGGATAAGGTAAATCTTGGTGTAGAGATGGAAAAATGGCAGATAATTTACTAAGTGAGGTGAGAAAAGCAAATTACAAAACTGTGTATAATTTGATCCAGATACATGATTAATATGTAAGTAGATAACGTTTTCTATATACAAGGACATTTCCTTTTTTTTTTTTTCCCCAAAGTTGCTGGTTGGGCTTCCTCTGTGTTCTTTCAGCACTTGGCGGGGGTCACCTCAGTTAAAGCCAGGTGTCAGCCTGTTATTGATACACAGCTATGCTCCCCACCCCCACCACAGCTCCTCCAGGGAGCTCCTTCATATTTCTTTATATTCCCTCACTCCAGTACCCAGCCTAGTGCCTGGTGGATATAGTCCCTGCTCCTAAGCATTTGACGAAGGAAAGATGAAAGGAATGACCAAGAGTTCTCTTGACCCCCCATCCCATAACCCTGAGCCTTCTGCCTCTGGCTACTCCACTCACCTCTGGTCGTCCAGAGCTGCATTGGCATGATAGTACCCAGCCACTACCAGACCGGCCTGCGCGCCCCACGCATCCACCTGCCGTGGGAAAGGGGCCATCAGAAACTCAATCGTGCCGCCCGCCCTGTAGGTACGCACTGCTGCCAAGAGGCCGGGGATGGGCTTGGGCTAGGGGTGTTAGGGGGTTTCGCGGTGGTCGGTGGGCGTCCAGCGGCGGCACCTGGTTGAGGGCGACCTCCAGCATGACGGACAGGGCCAGATGGCTGTGGAACAGGGGCACACAGTCGGTGAGACACAGACATTCTCCCGACCGCGGAGCGGGCGCCAGCAACAGCCCGTTGACGGCGGCGTGCGGATACCGGGCGGCGTGCAGACACATCTTCACGTAGGCCCGGGCCGAGACCTCCACCTCCCCCATGGCCAGCGGGGCCCCAGCTCGCGTCCGCGAAGCTCCCTCCCCGGCGCCTTCCTTGGCCCTTCGCTCTGCCCCCTCACTTAGATTCGGCAGTGACGCTGACTCCGCGCGAAGGCAGCCCGCCGGCTCCCGGGGACCTGGGTCCCGGCGCCCGGCCCCCACCTGGCCCAGAACGCAGACGGTCCGGATTGCATGCTGCAGCGCCGAACTCCGCCTCCGCCCGCCCCCGACTGGCGGCCGCAGATCCTCGCGGGTCTGGGGGACTCCCGGCCCGCTGCGGTAAGCAGCACCCGCTTCTGGAGTCCCGCCCACGTGGTGCTCTTTGATAGGCTTAAAGGTTCTCATTTTGCCCAATCACCGGCCGCGTCCAAACCTTGCCCCGCCTTTGTCTCCCGCGAACTGGAAAGAACCCACAACTGAAAACTAAAGAGAACTGCCCGCACGCTGATTGGCTAGGCTACTCGACTTCGGTCCGGGATTGCAGGATGGCTTCCTCTGACACCTGTGCCGCCCGCCCCCGCAGGCCCAGCAAAGCCAGGAGGTTGGAGCGCGCGCTCCGCGTGGGGTGTCCCAGAGCGCTCGATCTCCGAACCTGGACACAAGCGCACTGCCTTGCTCCTACTATGGAATGAATGGATTTGTACTCTAGGCCAGCTCCGTCACTGACGAGCCCTGTTACCTTTGCCATTACAGGGTATCTGGCCCTTGGTTTCCTTAATGCAGTCTGCAGAAATAAAGGCGGCAATTGGCTGAAGGAGGGGGAAAGAGGACAAAAAAATTTACAGACCCATCTTTCCCTTAATGTCCTGCGGTATAATTTCCTTCAACATAATGCCTTGGGAGCGTTTTTCCCCTTGTCAGCTCTTGAGAAGGAGTCCCATCATTCACCCATAATGAATGAAACCTCACTCCCTCTCCAGGCTTGCACTGAGCTGATGATGAGTGTTGTTCTTTCGTCTTTCCCTGATCTCAGCCCCGGAGCTTTCTCCTTGCTCAGGTTTCAGTCCAAAGCCTGATTATTCCCTATAAGGGGTCTGTGCAAATGCCACTTCTTCCAGGAAGCACTCACGAGCCCCCCAGATGTTTGAAATAATCTTGTGAAATCCCCCAATACAGGCTATCTGTATGGCTGTCACGACATGTCACAATTTCCACCCTGTTCTTTAGGATGACTTCTTAAGAACAGGATGGGTTTCCCATTCATCTTTGGCTTCATGGCATCCCCTCTCTTTCCTGCCACCACATTCACATTTGGTGTCTGGACATAGGTGACACTCAATAAATGCCTTCTGAATGAATGACACACACCAGAGATAATTCACACAAAGCATAGGTCATTTATTATTATTGTTATTATTTTCTTTTTCTGGCCCTTGACTAGTACATAGACGGCTTCTCTTCACCCTTTGGGTTGATGATTTTCTCTAAGTTGCTGCTGATGATATGATAAAGCTCAGCCTGGAAGAAGGCCAGAAGGGTGGCAGTCAGGTTCTTGGCTTCTCCCCCGTCCCCCTCAACCATCTCCCATAGGGGCTTACTGCACACTCACATAGAAGGCCCTCAGGTCCAGCACCATGGCCCTGAGCTCCCCATAGGCTGCCTCATCTCGCTCATGCACCAGGGCCCGATAATCCATCTGGGATGTGGGAGGCAAAGCTGAGTCAGCTCCATGGGAGGTTGGGACATTAATCTGGTTTTCTCATATAGGGAATAGGTAACTTGAGGATGAGCCCCTTCTCAGCACTAAGAAATGGAATCCCACAGGATCAAGCCGAGAAAGGGGTCCAGGTTTCTGAAGCCCAAATCAGTTTTTCTAGCCAATACTCTTGGCTTAGTATTTTCCACATTGGGAAAGTCAGAAAACAGACAAGGAAGACCTCTAGTCCCTCTTCCTTGCCCCACCCCCAGCCAGCCTCAGCTAAAAGCCTGGTGACTATCTACTCACTACATGAGTCTCCTTAGAGGCCTTGGCCACAGCATCCCCGCGTTCTGAGAAGTACCTGCCAAAAGCAAGGGAATAAACACAGGAACGGGTAGTGAGAGAGAGATACTCCCTCAGATCCTTCCCAGAGCCCCCCATTGTCCTGATGGGACTGCCCAGCTTTGGGAATCCCAAAGAAATGTCCCTGCAGCACCCCCGTGCTGGCCCTCCAGCTGCCCTCACTTGGAAATGGTTGTCTGGAAGGCTTCTACTTTTGTCTTGACTGCATTTACCCTCTCCAGCACCTTCTCCTGTGATTAAAAAAAAGAGAGAGAGAGAGAGATGGGAGGCAAGAAAAACACTTCATCTCCTCCCTCCTTCACCCACCATCTTCCTCCTCCTCCCAGGTCATATCTAGTTCCTATCTCTCACTCCCCAAGTCTCTCCCTGCTCTCAATGTCCTCATACACCCTTTTCTTACCTGGATTGCCACCCCAAAGTCATTTCCATCCTCAATCTTGGGGATCAGGTGCTGGATCCATGTGATCACCTAAATTATGATCACGGAGGAATCATTCAACAAACTTACTGGGTTTTTCCTTTTACTGCCACTTCTTAATAACAGCTATATTTATTTATTTATTTTTAAGGTTTATTTATTTATTTGAGAGAGAGAGAGAGCAAGCACAAGCAGGGGGAGCAGCAGAGGGAGAGGGAGAAGAAGGCTCCCCATCGAGCAGGGAGCCCGACTCGGGGCTCAATCCCAGGACCCTGAGCCAAAGGCAGATGCTTTAGCTGACTGAGCCACCCAGGCGCCCCTAACTGAGGATTTATTAAGTGCCAGGCACTGTGCTACATATATATATCTCATTTAATCTTCACAGCAGTTTTTTAAGATACATATTTTTATTGTACCCACTCAATAGATGAAAAAACTGAGTCACAGAGTGTCCAAGAAACTTACTTAAGGTAACCAGCGAGGTAAGTGATGGAGTCAGAATTTGAGCCCAAGCAGTCTCTAGGGCCCAAGCTCTTAAACCAACTCATGATGGCACAACACCTGCACTGTGTACTTGGTACAGAGGTGGGTTCTGACACTATGGAGGTGGATACAGCAGTCTCTTGATTACACAGGGAT